CCATCATATGATGGACGAAAGCTCAGCACATTTTCATCAGAAACGAGGGAGGAACACTCGTGGACTGCGTAAACATGAATATTATATAAAAGCCGAACGGCTGCAGTACAACGAGTTTCATCCATTCTCATCTGGTGAGATCGATCAACGAATCTCTTCTTCGTGCACTTTCATTCGAAATGGAGGTCCCCCTAATAAAATATAAATTAAAGTCTTATAAGTTAGGCGTTAGCTGAATGATTGCAGTTTTGGAGTACTCGAGGCACTAATAAATTTGCTTCAGACTCGTCCTGGTAGAAGTTCCACTTGCTCCCTCCAACACTCACGGAATCACTTCATGCCATTCAGTAGCTTCAATGCATCGCTCTTGAAAGAAAAAAGTAGCGAGGTCTATGAATGCTAAAGGAGGGCAGGTCAGCGACTAGAGTTATTTTCTCTTTTTTAGATTTAACGTGTATTAAACGGAGGTGATTCTCTACACGATCGAAAAGAAAAGCACTGTTTCAGAGTCAAGGCACTTATCGACGGCTCTATCCACAAATGGCTTCTAAAATTGACTTAAAATTGCTGTCTGTTTGTGGCTTCTCGATACACCGCCAGTCCTAAGGCTCTTCTTCACCTCAGCTGTTTGTGTGAACGAGGGAAGTACGTGTAATCCCTGAAGCACAAGCTCCCAACAGAGAACGTACAGGCGTCCAGGGAACTCGGTTACAAGATACAAAATTGTGACGGAGCGCAATGAGCAAAAGGCAAGCAGAGGATCAATCCGATAATTTACTTGAACACCAAAGAGCGCAACCTACTTGCCTGAAGTGCTCGAAGACAGACGTGAACAGGAATGAAAGGATCAGATAGGTCATAGCAGCTCAGTCGAAATTCGTCCAACAGAGTGTACTTTTGAACCTCATCGCCACTTCCACCCATCAGAAAGAGCTGAAGGGTAAAGGTGTCTGTGTAGGAAAATGTGAGAAAAATTTCCAGAAATATCTAGAAGCAAGATAAGAAATAAAATAGTATTATGGCTTCATTCCCGACGCAACCATAGCCAGTATCATAACTAGATTTCTCATGACTTCAATAAATGGAGAGGACATAAAGACTAATGTCAATCGGTTCTAGATTAAACGATCAGCGGCCATAATAATTATTATGAGCATCAATTAGTAGATATATTTGACCAATCCAGTTAATTTATATTATTTCTGAGATAACCATAACTCGCCTTATAATAAATATTTTAAAACGATCTAAAGTTGGATCTGATCTAAAAAGTAATTTATTGTTTTGCACCTTTTAACCAACACTTGCCTTATACGCAAATATCGGATTACTTTATTACATCAATAACAATGAACATATTAATGTAAAGTGATTCCAAAAAATCCCACTGATGTGATACAGGATGTTAGAGAGTATTTAACTAACTCAATATATCGCGTTTATACAAAATAGTTGGGAATCTAAATGCCATAAAATATAGGGAGCTTATGCTAAAGTGGCTCTTGCCAGATATAGAAGTGATTTGACCTAAATGACGGCACATTGGTGTGCCCAAACCAATAGATAATATATAGTAATCACATTAGATTTTCACTCAAAGAGGAAATACAGATAAAACTGAAGCAAAGGAATGTTTTTCATTCTACACATAATTGCGAAAGAACCCAACGAAAAATAGCTGAAATAGGATATTCGAAAGATGCCATAGAATAGCATAAACTTTTATAGTCTTTGATATTTAGTCATAACAGCATTAGGGCATGCCTCTTTCATTGGACACAGCAAGAATTCTTATGAGGTGATACTCTGACCTTGACTGAATGGACTCCATTACGAGTATCGGGAATGATTGTAATTGTCCTGGATATAGCAGTGTTTGCAGCCTTTAGAAGATGCCTATTTCTAACGGATTGCAATAGTATACGATAGAGTTCAAATGATTATGTCGTATTTTTTAAGTTAGCTAATATATACGATATAGCATACTTCTTAGTAGAATCAAAGCTCATTACTGATTTGCTAGGTCCGGATTATATACACAAGCTTTATAATTTTATCCTAATGGCACATTAACGATGTGTCTATTGAAAAACGGTCGGCCTATCTGAAGCTCCCAGGATGGAATGATACAGGCAAATGGGTAAAGTAGAAAATGTGACTGTCTGACGAGTTGGAAAGAGGACGCGCTATTCATAAGCTTTGGCCTCTGGTAACACTAAATTCCCGGAAAGAATGAGGGCAAATGAAGCGAGACTTTCTCCTTCCTTAAATCCAACCTTCTTATTGCATTATCCAAGTATAGAATTTCCAGGTGTCCATACATATTCCTTCTATGCCTAAAACTCCCAAATACATAGGGATCCTGGAACTCAAATAAAAATTAATTTAACTTAAAGCATTTAATTTCCGTCAGGATAGCGTCTAGGGATAGCAAAAGAAACCGGAGCAGCAGCAAAGTATCGAATATATAGTTATCCAAATTGTGTTACAATCTGGTGATTTCTGGCCAAAACTGACAGGATTTTTGATGTGGCATGCCAAGTTAGGCCACCCATGATTTTGGGTTAGATATGACTTCGATAAAGGCTCTCGGGTCTCAGATCAATGAATAGATAATTGTGAAATGTTTATTTACCGATTCGACAAATCGTAGCCATGATCGATAGATCTTTCTTATATATCAATTTTTTAATATGACATGAAATAGTTATGCAGATGAGCCATTCTTCGCATGCAATTACATAGATTACAATACATAATATGATTATAAATATATATACCTATTATACTATTAATTATATTCTATATATAATATAATTATTTCATAATATATTTAATACACTGTATTATATATATATATATATATATATATACTATATGACGATACGCTTTCCGGTTATTTGTACGTTAGTGCCTTTCTGAATAAATTTTCCAAACTAGTCACTAATACTTTAATATCAAATCCAACTGCGGGCATCCTGGAAATTTAGATGCATATTATTCCCTTAAGCGACCAATTCAATGTATCTGGAAAGGCTAGAAAGAGACGAGGAGACCTTAAGGGCCGATTTTGTTTGATTGCTCTAGAATTGAGCATTCTTTCGTGAGTAAAAATTTTCAAAGCAATAAAATTGATCCCATCGTCTGCCCTACAAAGAAATGCACACATTACAGAGACATTTAGCATACGAATTTAGGTAAGAATAGACCTCCCACAGAAAAGTATACGATACAGAAGTCTAAAAAGTCACGATGGAGTGCAGTTAAAACTTGACTCTGCTGATACATTTTGACCCAACTTTTACCTCGAATAATTTTTTTCTCAAAGTGGATCGCGGTTTCAGTCCTGTTCTGGACTCTTTCGAATTTCACAGAACTTTCAACCTAGAGTGTGAGGCGCAAAACAGCACGTGACGCCTACATGGTGTTTTTGTTTACATAACAATAAGAGTGTCCATGCAAATCAACCTCC